GATTCTTCCCACACCTTCATCGGACTCGATCATCTCGTGGAGCTCAAGTGGCAAGAGTTTCATCGTTTGGGATCCTGCCGAGTTCTCTAGAGCTCTTCTTCCGAGACTCTTCTTGCTCCACGATTTCTCATTGTTTACGCTGTTGCTTATCGGACACGGCTTTAGGAAAGTTGACTCGGAGTGATGGGAATTTGCAGATGAAGACTTTGTTAGAGGAAAATCTCAAATTCTTAAGATTAGATACAACCGTCCAGACTCATCAAAAGTCTTCTTAAGACTCGGCATGAAGAAGAGAATCATGAAGAAGGAGAAAAGGATGAGTAAGATGGCTATAGAGGTGCAGTAAAGGATCAGAGATGCACGGTTTACATATTTGAATAAATTTTCCTAATCAAATCTACTCTCTAGTTTTCTATTTCTCAATCCACTCAATCTCTAGCTACTTCTATAGTTTCTCAAAATTCTATGGTTGATAATGATAAGGAATATTAAGCAATTAAGTTACAACTTGGTCAGATTTTTATTGTCAAGCCTAAGATCTTTATATTCTTATAAGTTACAAAAGCGCCTTATACATAGAAATCTTTTTTTATTCTCCTCAATTTCATCTTCTCTGCATCTCTCTTATTGCTTCCTACTCCAGTCTCCACATTGGTTGCATAAATCTGGCACATACCGATGTTCATAACGGTAATCAAACTTGCTTATAGACATCTCCGGATTTGGCGGGTTCACGAGGAGAAAATCAATCGATGAGGATGCAACGAATTGGAGATCCTTCCGCTCCAACTAGTCTTAGTGGTAAGCAATGTACAGAGTAGAGTCCTGCCTTCACATCATCCAGCTTCAATCCTTCCACAAGTATAGTCTCCTGTCAAGGTTTTATACACTTCTCAGCCATCATTATCTTAAAATCTTCACTGTTATGGATTCATCTACTTTTAGAAAACTTGAGATAATGCTTTGCTTACCCGGTCTTTTAGGAATACTAGGTGGGACGGTCCAAGATCCTCGTATGCAGCTGCTGATAGATAATCGATCCCTATGTTTTGACAATGGATACACCAAAACTCAATCTTAGAGACCACTTCACCAAAACACAACCAACAAACTTATATGTCAAAAAAAAAAAAAATCAATCTTAGAGATGTCAATGCATCAATTGCTAAAGTAGTTTGTTTTTCTCAATTCGGATAAACTTCAACGGTGATTCATACTTTGTTTGCTGTGTCTAACAAAAGATTGTAACAAGAAGAACACAAAATGATGGCAAAAGGTGAATCGTTTGGTAATTACCGACAAGTTTGATGTCTGTGTTGTCTACCAACCATTGCGCGCCATCTTTCATGAATCCAACATAGCTTGTATCAAACTCTTTCTTGAACATAAGACGCCTGAATTATTCATATCACAAAGCTTCAAACTTTGTTCCATGTCTAACATCGAACTGATATCAGAATCATCCTTATTCCTAAACATTACCTGTCAGTGTTCAATGTTCTGAATAGCACACGACGCACTCCTTTTGGAATGTGTAGAGATTTCATCACTTGAGCTACAAAATCACAAAGAATCATATGATCATAGCCAAAAACACAAACTTTCCTCAAAATTTCACTTACCAGTTATGTTTGTATCCCTAGGAACATCAACCAACAAAGCAGGACCTACAAACAAAAACCCAAATTCTTCACCAAATTCGAATTTACAATTCAAATCAAAGGGTTTCGTCTAAAAATCAGAGATTATACCATTGAGGACTTGTAGATCAAGCGAGTCAACATCAAAACCAGCGTCTAAATACTCATCATAGAAATGCCCTGGTGAATCAACGTGAGTACCAGTGTGCGTCGGGAACTTCATCTCGGAGTTGTTAGCGAGTGATCCGTTCTTCATACTCGCAGCTAACCAAAGAAACCTTCCGATTCCTTCCGTTGAATCCCACGACGGCATCTCCGGAGTGTAACGGTGACTGATGTCGAAGATTTTGCCTTCCCCGTAAACTTCTCGGCGGATGGGTTTGGGGGCATCGGTAAAAGTAAAACCTCCGTCGATAGGAACGGTTCCGGGAATTGAAGGGTATGCATCGGAAACGGTGGCGGAAATTGGAAGAGAAGGGAGAGAGAGGACTGTGAAGAGGAGGAAAAATGGAGTTAAAGCCATTGTTAGTGTTCACTTTTCCCGATTTCGATCGTCTCGAAGAAGATGACTCTATTTTGTGACTTTTTTTAATTTATGGGCCCAAATTAATTATAGGCCCAAACTATCAAAACTATATATTATACGAATTGTGACCACTTTGTATTTAACTTCGTTGCTTAATTAATTTGAAAGAACACAAATGTAAATAAGGAGCAAAGTTATAGGGTAAATTTTGTGTATCTTTTCAATTCTCATTTCGAGGTATATTCAGTATTCACAGTTTCTTTTTGTACAAAGTTTTTGTAGGCTTAGTAACCTAAAGAATATTAAGAATTGAGACTCTGTATTTGATCAAAGACTTTGAGAGTGAGTCAAG